GGAATGAGTGTACATTAAAACCTCTTAAACAGGTAAGCTTTAACTAAAGTACAAGTTTGACCTGCTAGAGTGACAGAGCATGCTCTGTCTGTGTGAGAAAATGCTACATCATCCAGTAATTGTCTGTGTAGCTGGAGACAGGTAAATAGGGGCTAGGGAGGGTATTGGAAGTAGGGGTCTCTAACAGTAGGAATTAAAACAAAATCCAATCAAAACAGCAAAAATAAGCAAAAAAAGACAATAATGAACCAACCTAACAATGAATTATGAAACTACCAGAATAAAATAATTCAGTGAACTACTGGAAGAGGAGGAAAAACCCACCCTGCCACGATGTGAAAGGGTCAGTGCAGATTTTGGATGGGCTGCAAAATGTCTCTGTCTGTGCAGCACAGATGAAAGATCTGTCTCTGCCTCAGATCCACACCAAGGCACCAGCACCAGTGCAAGTTCCATACTTGTATTCAAGAGCTGTTAAGGTATTTGCCTACCTGGCATAAAGCATCCATTTTTTTAGCTAAACCCCAGAATGTTTAGTATTTTTTTACATTCCTTCATCCTTATAATGATTTGGATTCTACATACCATTTTCTTTAATTGTGCAACACAAACCTCAAACTTTAGAATTTCATAAGTAGAACACTATCATTTGTGATTTTTTTTTAAATCACTTACTGACATTTCTTGCTGAAAATTCTGAGCAAACAGCTTCTGAAATAAGTTCTTTTGACAGCCTTTATCCTGACAGAAAAAATCAATTGCAAAGGGATTAAGGATCTATCTGCCTTAATTTGAACCTTACATGGTGAACAATTAAAGTATTTGTGCATTCATGTCACTTGTCTGTGAGATGCATTAGTCATATTCCCTTTGACCTATTTTTCACGAACAGTGATTCCTCTTCTACTGAGCATCACGACTCTGCCAGCCCTGTGACTACAAGGTATGAATTGACAAAAATAGTGTCGAGCCTCAGGGCTATTTATTTGCAAGGACTGGTTTCCATATTGAGGAAAGAGGAAGAGAGAACACACACCACAGTTTGCCCAGATAGGTAATAATACAGGTTCATGAATGATTAAAATCCACATGCTGTAAAACTCACCTTCGCTATCTCTCTGCTGATGCATTAAATTAAAATCAATAATAGGAGAAATGAAGTGATATTGCTCTGACAAAAAGAATGACAAAAACAGAATTACATGATATGGCAGGTGATCTCACACAATACAGACATAGAAAGTAAAGAGTGTAAATTTACTTGAACAAAATATAGCTTAAAACTGAAAATAAAACAATCAGGATTCTTAAAACCTGTCTGAAGAGCAAGACTCCCTCTCAGAAAAACAGAAGATTATAGCCATTAATTTCCATTCTCTTAACAGGTATCACCCCTTTTTACATTACATAGCATTTGCCTCAGGAAATGGTGCATTGCATTAGCTCTGCACTGCTTCCCAGAGGACTGCAAATCTGACATTAAACTGCAAGTCACAAGGGTTTCTTATAATTGCAAATGAGTACACATCATGACATGATTGCTTACCTCCACAACTGGCCCCATCAGCTTGCACACTGGTTTGGACCAACAAAGGGGCTGGATCCTTGGGTGCTGGCAGCTGAGGAGTTTCTTCCTGGGTTGGCAGAAATGCAGAGCACAGATCGGTTTCAAGGGCTTGTAGCTTCAACAAAGAATTCTGCAGACAAAAGCAGAACATTGGGCTAGATAGGGAACGGCAGAATACGGCGATGCTCTTCAACTCACAGAGCCCATTAGCAGCGCCTGCAAAGGGGTGTTCCACCAGCAGCTCTGAGAGGACGTGCCGGAGAACAAACGTGCACTATTCCACGAGTTTCTTGGCTCCTGGTTATTTAAGTCCCAATTTACATGGATTATTCATGACACGTGGGAAAGATGACTTCGTCAGCAAAAGACAATTTATTCTAGGAAGCCAAACTGAGATGGTGTCCCTTTTCTTGGTCTTGAAGCAATACACTAAGCAAGTATTTCATTCATTGGGCTGACATCACGATCTGATGACATTGTGTCCCTCCCCGTTTACCATTCATAAAAAAACAAATCTCCCTCTCCAGCCTATTGTGCAGTACACAGCAGCGAACAAAGAGTTACTGAGAAAACGCTCCCTCATGGGATTCTTGGAAGATATATTTTTAATTGGCTTTTTTAGAGACACTGCTTTATGTAGGCACAGCTTTTATGTAGGCTGATGCTGCTTCTACAGGGCGACCAGATCATTTCCTATCTGCTGCCAAGGTAAAATTAACAGATCATTGTCACTTGCTGCAGACAAATCAGTGAGGACAAGGCTAGTTATCTATAACATCACTTCCAGCTACTGTGTCACGCTTGGTCCATTTCTCATTTTAATCTTTAATGCTGCATGCAGCTGTACAATCTGACACAAGCATCTTGCTGTGATGCAAATGCTGTGAAAGCCCCAATCACCATCTGACTGGGTAAAATGAGTCACTACCGATACCCACACGCACTCAGTTCCCCTCTCTCAGGGGAAATGCAGCTTGCAACATAAACAAAATCACACAAGGCTGTCTTAATAATCACACAGCTGGCACACACAGAATTATAGATAAAACGTTAAGTCACTCAAATGGTACATATTTGTGATGAGCAATTCCTGAAAAAAACTCTGAGTTGCAACAGAAAAACAAAAATCCTTGTGTTTATACCCTGAAAAGCTCCTTTCCTCACTCTGTCAAAGACCTGGAATCAATTTATTGATTTCTGTAATGCAATAATTAATTAATTTATTGAATAATTTCCTTTGTGTAACAATAGGTAACTTATGTAGTGAGCAGTTTCATGTGTCTTTGCATTATGTTTGTTGTGATACGGCCCTCTTATAAACCTAAGGATGCCAGAGTTTTCAGGTTAGCAAAAAAGAATAAATTAAAAAGGAAACTAACGTGGCTGAGACCAGCAGGGAAGATTTCAGCCTTAATCCTTTCATTCCTTCTATAGAATTCAGGCAGTGAAAAGGGAGCAGAAAATAGCTGTTTCTAGGAGATACCTCAAAATAGGGAAGTTTTGAAAAAGCACAATATTATCATAACTAGGTCCTGCGACCCTCAATGTGGCTGTTAGGAGTGCTTCAAAATCCCTATCCCCTTCCACAAAACAGATTAGGTTACAGTTAAACGCTTAGACTTTGGTCTCAGCTTAGGTCAAAAAGGAAATCCAGGGACATCTTTCTTCTCCTGGTCCCAGAGCAAACAGGAGCTCTGGCCATTCTTATCAGGAGCAGCTTGATATTAGGGATGTGTGAGCAAATAAATTGCTTGTGTTATACATTTATTTCGGAATTAAGTTCCTCTTGTCTGTTGTCAAGATACATTTTGATGTCTTATCCTAGAATACCAGGAAAGAAGTGACTGCAAGATCAATCACTGATTCATAATGAAATCCCTACATGTAATACTATTCTTTTAGAATACAGCATGATATAAAGCTGGTTTCTATGATCTGAGGCAGAAGATACTTTTACTATTCCCAGGTACAGGTTGCATTAACAACCTACCATCTTATGGCCCAGCAGCTCTTTGCTGTGGAAAGTGGTTGGATGGCAAATTTCCAGTTACTGCCAAATACTAAAAAAATTCATAAAATAATAATGATAAGATAAACACCTTATATGATTTCATGAATGTGCCCTAGCCAGGGATTTGAGTATTTTGATTTTGTAAGGAGAAAAAGAGTACAGAACTTTGATCATTTTGATATTACAAGGGAGATGATGAATCTGGAGTATGCCTTCAACCTTATCTTACTCCTAAAACACACCTGAGTACTATGGTACTGCCACAGCGCACTGTTCATGAAAAGCCACCACGTATTCATGGGCACACATGTAAGGAAACATAGGTTCAAGCAAAGGCCAAGCACAAAGCTGCCCAGGGTCACCAACCCATGAGCAACAGGAGTATCCTTGTAAATGGTAGGGCTGACCTGGCTGCCTACTCGGTCATGTGTTCTGTCCTGCCCTTCTCAGAGGGCTGTTTGCGGTACTGGCAATGCCAGGGCAGCTAGGCTAGATCCTGCCAGCCTTGGACCTCCTGCTCTGTGGCAGGGCCAGTGTGGCCCCCTGTTTTTGCAACTGCAGCCGGGCAGCAGAGTGCTCTGGGAGGTGACATGGCCATATGTCAGCAACTGGCAGTGGGTCCTCTATCCTGGGGCTCGGTGGGACAGGCCAATATGCTGCCAGCTGACAGTAAAAGGCAGGCGAGAAGAGAGAAGAATAAAGTCCAAGCCCTGTCTTCATCTTCTCAAGCCTCCCAAGTTCATTTGAAATCTTGCTGACCACTTCCAACTTCCCTCTAATTCTCCAATACTTTCCAGTACCTGTGCAGCCCTGAGGTGACTGCAGGCATCCCGCCACAGTGGAGGGGCTGTGTACTCCTCTGCACTGCGCACACTCGGCAACGCATTCTAATCTGGAGATGAACCAGCCTGTGCATGTGCTACTCAAAACTCTCCCATGGTCCAGACCTGTCCTTGGGGTCCAATTGGGCCATCTCTGCTCTTAGCCATTTAAAAGAAGTTGCAAAATATTTTAGAAGCAAATAAAAAAACAGCTAAAATACATAGAGGGGAAAACAGTGGATGCGACCTTAAATTTTAGTAAGCTCTTATATGGAAAATCAATATCACTGAAGTAATTTAAGCTATGGCATATTATGTCAGCTAATGATCTCAGTTCAAATACTTCAGATTTGATGCTCATTCCAGCTTTACGCTACTACCTAACACCAGTGTTTCTGGTGCAGTAATTCCCAATCCATTTTAATGCAAATGAAAGGACATATTAATATTTAAAATGGAACCTTAAATTTCTTTGGAAAAATAACAATATTGTTGCCTGTTAAGAATAGTGTTTTGTAAGTTTGAAAAAGAAGCAATTATAATTGCCTTAGACAAAGGTTTCTTATCTCTTCTTATGTCCTCTTAAAGTCACTGATAATTAAAAAAACTTGAGCTATGTCAATTCCACTAGAAGGAGAAAAAAATCCTGCATTATTTCAGATCAAAGATAATGGAAAAAATAAAGACATTTATAAGAAGTCCAAGGAAAAAAAGAGAGACAGTGTGGTATTTCTCTCCTGTTTGTAATTTTTTGCTAATGCTTTAAGAAAACATAATCATTAAAGTATCATTCTCTTGCCTGCTGGAGAAAACACAGTACAAAAGGATTTGCATTTTCAGAGGAAGCTCAGCCTGTAGTAAAGAAACCATCTTCACAAACAAGTCTGTAGACTGTACCTCATTGACCATCTCTCTTTCCAGCTAATGATTATTGAAATTCGAGATTTAAGGCCTTGGGGCAAGGAATTATTGAGATGATAGATAACTTCCTACTTCTAGAGATAAATAGAATCATAGAAGGCTTGGGTTAGAAGGAACTTGAAAGATCACCTAGGTCCAATCACTCTGCCATGGGCAGGGACACCTCCCACCAGACCAGGCTACTCAAAATCCCATTCAACCTGGCCTTGAACACTTTCAGGGACAGGGCATCCACAACTTCCCTGGGCAACCTGGGCCAGTGTCTCATTATCTTCAAAGAATTTCTTCCTAATATCTAATCTCAATCTACCCTCTGACAGTTTGAAAGCATTCCCCCTTGTCCTGTCACTACATGCCCTTGTAAAAAGTCTCCAGCTTTCTTGTAGGCCCCATTCAGGCACTGAAAGGCTGCTATAAAGTCTTCTACACACCTACACTCGAACTGCTTAATCCTTCTGGAGAATGGGACACAGAATGAGCAAATACTCCCAATTTATTTCCAAAATGCTGTGGCAATGAGTGGGAGTCCCCTGAAATATCTTACGAACTTTTTCTTGGTAGGTACCATTAGTAACTCCCTCTCCAGCTGAAGGTTCCTGCACGAGATCCTGCAGGATTGGCACTACGTGATGTCAACACATCAGGTCAGCATGTCCTGGGGGATGGGACAACATGGGAGACATAGCCTGATGGGAGACAATGCGCCAAATGGAGCCTCGCTACTGAGCGCTCTCCCTTTCTCCCTTCCAATCCCTAACGTTCTGTGATTCTGTGATTCTGTGATTCTGTTACTGCACCAAGAGCTACAGCACTGCCAAACCTGGTAATCCATCAGTACCCACTGCATATCCACAGAGAGAGCAGACAGCAAACCCTGGCCAAAAGACAGCCACTGCTGATCGAAATAATTTTGTTCCCTGAAAAAGCATTACTACTACTGGCATCCTTTGTTTCATCCTTGTGGATATCCTAAGGTCTGGTAAATTTAATAACTGAGAGGAGAGAGCAAGGGAACAGGTCTACCCCACCCATGGACCCTGCCCAGTCTCAGCCTGGGGGCTGACAGGGAGTAGGGAGGAGAAGCAAAGCCCAGACTTGGTCCTTTCCGTGCAAACTGAAAGCACCCTGACGAGCACACGGTGTTTCTCAATATTAAGAATGCTGCACCCTGTCCTGGGCCTGCCCTGGCCCCTCCAGGACAGAAAGGCAGCTATTTTATTATATCTAGTTTACTGATGGATTTACTGGATTTATGAAATCAGCTTGGGCAGAGAAGGAGAACAATATAAGCTTTCAGCATTTAATGGCCTTTGAAGTGATGCATATAGAAAAGAACCTGAGTAAATACCAACCTGTTCAATTTCTTCCCTCTAAGGAAATTAATACTTTTATATGTCACATTAAAACAACAATGTATAAAAGCATCCCCCTTGCTTTTTAATCTGAGAGTTCAAGTTAAAATAAGATAGGCGTATTTTCTGTGACCGTAAATAAATCTCTGCAGTATCTGTTATGGCAATATTTTTATCTTGAGGCATATGACATTTTCAATTCAGAAATTCCTTTATGGGGAAGAAACAAGCAACAATAAGATAAAACAAGATATGCCCTGGGTCTGAATATAATGCCACGAGTGTGCAGTGAAGAGAGATGCCACTTTCTCTAATCTAAGAAGGAAATTTATTTTCTTATGACAAGTGTCCATTTGGGTTTGCAGTAGACCTGAGACACAATACAGTCTAAGATTTTGCAAAAGAAACCACCGGAATGTAGCCCTTGCTCATTCCCCATAAATTATTATCAATTTATTTTAATTTCTGATCTAATTATCTGTTTTGATACTTTACACTGATTTTATGTATTATGATATTTTATCTTAACCTTTAAGGAATCCTTTGCAAGACCTGTAAGTGGGAGCTTTTAAGTGGAAGCTTTGGTGACTGTTTGCAATGGGGCTTCTCAAAAGACACAATAACTTGATGATTTCTTCCAGTGCCTTAATTGGCCAGACAGAGGCTGAGTATAGTCCTTTGTATCTATCGGACATGGAATGTGCTTTATGAGTTAGCATTGGGATTTTCAATAGTGGGCTGCACAACAATGACCAAAATGTACAGGAAATAATTCATGTTAAGGACAAGTTTAAGTCTGAATTCCTTTAAAAGGACACATTGTGGATTTCCGTCAGGCACCTATCAAAAGACACAGATGTTCTCTAGCTCTTCAGGGAAACAAAGCTGTCTTTTCCATGGTTTGACAGGAATGGGCTTCCCTTACCCTCAACTCTTTGATTCCCCTGCTTTTGTTGTTGTTGTCTCAGTCTACACTTAAAAATATCATCTGCTGTTTGCGTGAGTCCAGTATTGTTCATTGCCCCTGCAGTGTGTAAGCACACTCTATGCTAGCTTGCAGATAACCCTGTTTGTGGGAGATGCTTTATAAGGTTTTCTGCTTTGAATAATTGCAAAGCTTGATATTGGCCTCCATTGTATTGCTCATTGTGAGAATCTAGCCCAGACTCCCCCAGCATTTGACAGGATCACACAAACAGCTTTGTGCTCTGCTCTCACACCATCCTCCTGGCAAAATCTCTGTGAAAACAGCTTTTGTTTCCAGTGTCACAGGTAGTATTTGGCTTTCCTTCTCCTCCTCAATCCAACTCTCCTCTCCTCCCATCTTGCAAGACTACCTTTTAGACTACATTGTACTGATCATAGTTTATTTATATAGGAGGTGGCAACCTTGAGAACTCCTTATTTTTAAACAAAACATAACAGATAGCTGAATACTCTTGAGATGTGTATCAGGAAAAAATCAAATGTTCTTGAAAGAAGGCATTTCACTTAGTCAATATTGAATGTTTCATTTTTTTCTGAGCACAAACAGAAAGCAGAATCAAGTTGGCTTAAAATACTTTAAAAATCTCTTGCTTCTGCCTTTTAAACTATTATAGCAGTCTCATATCACATTTTCAAGCATTTCTCCAAAAACATGGCTAGCATGATTCATTAAAAAGCTAACCTAAGATTCCCAAGTGATTATTTTATTCCAAGACCCTAAAATTAACAAAAGCCAAACATCTAATTCAAAATTTGTAACATCATATTTCAGCTTATGATTAAGCTTACCTCATTTAAGCTGTTAAATTGCTCAGTTGCTTCTTTTGGTGAAATGCATGTGTTCTGATCTATTCTACAAAACAAAACAAGAATTTTCACTCAACAGATTGCTTGTCTGTTCTGCAAATATTTCAAGCTTTTCATCATGTCTGTACATAAATTACAAGTTAGGGGATAAAGTTGTTTTATTAGAAAATAACATTTCTATAAAAATTACATCTGTAACTTATACCTCATTCAAAACAACAGTGATTTTACCAAAATCCTAAATATTATCTTTAACTGTGAATGAGGTCCTGGAAAAGATGACATTAAAATCCAGGCTTACTCTGTCACACAGAAAAGGTTCTACAGAGCGTGATCAGCTCTCAGTGTCTTGGTGAGCTGATAGGGTTAAAGCCAAGAAAAAGCTGAAATGTGTTTAAATCAAAGCACGATTTATCCCACATGTTTTACGTCAGGAACAAGACTTTTCCTGTATCAGAGCCATGAAGAATAAATCTTTCCGTATTTAAATGCGATGGTATTTCAGGCTCCCAATCTTCAATTTCTGCTTAAGTTCTGTTTTGCACATTTCACAAAGACCCAAGGGACTCTCATGAGGAGCTGGAAATCCTTTGAGTAAGAGAGATATCCACATTTTCTAATGAGCATCACTTTGCAGCCATCAGAATAGTCCTTACCTTTGGTATCCCTTCAGTGTATCACTGAGAAATAGGAAAGGAAGGTCCTGGACTGGCAAGAGGAAAACTCTCCCTCTGACTATAGCTAATGAGACAACTGTGCCCATCCAGGCAGATGCGGTTGTGGCCTAGGGCTCCACACACCTATCACCTTCAGGATTAGTTACAAATTCTCTCTACTGAGGAATGAAACTGAAGCCTAAAAAAAAAAACCTTCCCATAGATTATGTGAGCAACCTGGATAGCCTCATAACACAGCTCTGTCCTTCCCCAAAGCAGAGGCTTTCCACACTCAGCTTCAAAGCCAGACTTGAGTGTATCAGTTCACTCAACTTAGCTGAAGCAAGAAAACTATTGCTGTCTCAAAGAGAGAGATTTCTCATTGCTGAAAAGGTGGCAATGTTTGCTGGCCCCTGTGAGACTCACTCACAGACATGACCAAAACTAACACAAAACCCAGATTTCTTTGGACAAAATAATTCCTGTTTTTCAGCTCAGAGTCATCCCAGCAAAACCAAATAGCTTCAAAAGCCTCTAGAGACCTCAAAAACAGTACAGACAGATGCATAGGCTTTCGTCGTAGCTCTTCACAGATTTATGAAGCTTTTAAAGACTGAAATGATGGATATCCCACTTCCCTTACCAAAACAGACACAGTAGATCGCTGTGAACAACCACTTGCCTCCAAACAGGATCCAAGGTGTGCAATTCACGTAGGAATCAAACCAAGTCATTAGTCATCTAGCACAAGAACTGGACAACTCACAGGCCAGCTAGCCTGCACCTACCTTAAGGTACACAGGTGCGTGACCACGAGTGATTTCTGGAGACACTTAAGCAGCAAGGTGCCTTAGCTGACTGTTGTACAAGCACCTATCTACATCTAATGTAGACCTCTGCATAAATAGTCTTTCTGTCATCTCACCTGAAAATCAGTAGCAAATGTCTCCATAATGTGAAGAGAACGGAAGGAAAATAGAACTACAGAAGGAAAGAGGTTGATGCCAAACAACTTTATCTTTTAGGCAGTAGAGGGACAGTATGAGGCAGCAGAAGAGAGATAAAGTAAACTGAGAAAAAGTATGGGGAGAGCAAAAGGAATCATTTAATAAGAAAGAGTGAAATATTTATAGTTTGGTTTAATAACATGTAAGGAAGGACCTGCAAGGCTACAGACAGCTGAAGAATTAGTTCACTAATGAAGGAAAAATATCTAGAGTGATATATTGCACTGAACTAGAGCTAGACATAAAGGAAAGGAAGAAAAGGACACATCAGGTTTGTACGCTTCTGGTACTCATTTAGATGACTCCTTTCATAGCAAATGTGAACTCTTCTCAAAAAAATAAAAACAACCAAACACAAAACCCCACACCTCTCTTTCATTCAGGCTGATGTTCTTGTTTGCTGTTTTAGGGATGCAGAAATCTTGCATTTTACTGTTTCTTTTTCACTAAAAATACTGGATTAGTATGCATTTAGTTTTGCCTTCTTTGGATTCTGAAGATACTGAAATTGTTAAGATGAGTAACCATTTTTGTCTGAAGAGCATTCACATCAATAGTCATATATGTGTGCTGAGCTGATCTTACTCTACATGGAGTTTTTGGGTGTGCTTTTTTGTTTTCGCCAAGATTAAATGCTCTCATAGGCATATGCAGGTTATCTGATTGTCACCAGGCAACAAAGGGCTTACAATTTAATAACTATGGGTTGGATCCCACTCTCATTGAAAGTCAATCACAAAATATCCATTAACTGCAAAAGCAGCAGGAACGGGCCCTAGTTTTCCATCTGAGCTGAGTATATGAAAATTATTCTAAGCCTTAGCTGAAATTTTGAATAATTGCTGGCAACTCTTATTTTGTATAATTTACATCATGTAAAATAATGAAAATGGAATTCTCTCTGTGGCTACAACTCAAATATGTGTTATAACATTCTTTAAAAAATACGAAAGGCCTGATCTCTCACCCTCCCTATACACTCTGGTTTGGCAGAATTATCCTGTTCTGCATGGCGCAGATTACAAAGATGCAACCCAGCAACATGTGCATTTGAATCTTGAGGACATAACAAAACAAACCAAAACAAAAATCTAAATACTAATTATCATAACAGAGCTCCTACCAGACTTCAAGGGGAAGATCAATTTGCATGAGCAGTGTGCTGTTTAAAAAACAGACCAGAACATGTGAATTATTGAATTATGCATGATACCACTTCTAAACATGCATAAAATTCAAATAAAAACCACATAATTTTAAAAACTAGAAAAATGTTTAAAGATAACCTAAGCAAATTAACTTCTTATTTCCCAGACTAAACCCAGAAAGGAGCATCGCGTTCTGTAATTTGCAAGTCTCAATCTAGTCCAGCCCTGGATTACACGAACCCCATCCTCAGGAGACTTGCGTGTTTATGCACCTCAATGCCACACGTGCTCACTGTCTCGGACCATTTAATGCATTAGTGATGCCAGGAGAAACCCTGGCAAGCAAACCACACACTGTGCTGTGGGATGAGACCCCTTTTCCAGATTCACTTCCAGTGAAAATCCCAGCACAATACTCCTTCCCTCCTCAAGTCTTGCAATCCACTTTACCCTTCCCACCGTAAGGGTGGCCCACCAGAAGAGCAGCTCAGAAGGGGCAGTCTCAGAACCGCATCCAGGGACAGATTCAGTCTATCCAGAGGTTACATCACACGAGTTCACAGAAAGGCAGACCCCACAACCAACACACCCTAGTGCCAAGAAAATAAAAAAGTCTTTTCTGAGACCTCCACAAATGGCAAAAAGCATTAAGGAAGTCAAACATAGTCACCATCTTAATGCAGGGCTGCAGGAGAATGCTTCACAAGCATGCCCATGACTCCTTACAAAGCAATACAGAACTGCAACAGGCTTTTGGATGAACATAAAGGGCACGCTTGCAATGAAAGAAACACCACCATTAAGGACCCAAGGCTGTTTGGATACGTCCTAGGCTACTCCTCGGGCAGTCTCTGAATGCTGGAATATGCAGCCAGCCAGCGTCAGTGCAGAAGCCCATGTCTCATCAATCACAGCAGTTACATAAAGGCTGGCTGTGGACAGCCACACTTGTTTACCTTCTTATGAGCAGCTTTTGTACTCCGCAGGCACAGTCCTCACCTGGGCTACAAGATGCTATTTCCACCCCCCACCACATCATCTCCTCATCCCCCTTTTTTCTTTCTTTTTAATTTTTTTTCTTTAAGTGTATTGCAACCCAAGAGCTTGCTCAGGGTTTTTTCATGCTTTGATACGAGAAGTATCACTGGATAAATATATATAAACATACATAAACACCAATATTTTAACATCAAGATTCCCGAAGAAACTGTTTTTAGGAACTGGTCAGTCCTTTCCCAGCAGCGCAATGTTTCATCAGGAAACCCTGATTTGCTGACACAGAGCTATTTGCAGACACAACCTGGTCGTGATGAATTTTTGCCAGGTCTGAGGCAGAACTCAGAGGGAATCTGGCCAAGTTTTCTCCCTGCGTTTGGTCGCCTGTGTGGGAATACAGCCTCGCAAGCTCTGCCTCACCCGCGCAGGTTCGCCATATGGCGCAGGGACATCAGCACTTCTGCAGCTTCCCTGCTCCCTCCCACACGTCCCTGAGTTGTATCTGTTCAGCAGAAAGCGTGGAAACCACAAAAGCCCACATTTGAACTACCCTCTCAGAAGCTACTAGCCTGGAAAACTTAAAGACTAAAAGCCTCACTAGAGCATGGTCTCTCTCAGAGGAGCACAGAAACCCTGGGAGACTCTGGCTGAGCCCAAGATCCAGGGCAGCCCAGAGCTCCCAGCATTTCCAGTTTTCCTGGAGAACTGTCATAGATCTGACAGCAACAGCCATCCTACAGCCTCTGCAGAAATTAGGAATCAACCCAGGGACCAGCTGAGTCCTATTAAATGAAACCACTCCCCTCCCATTTTATTTGGGGAATAAGGAAGAGCAGGAACTTTCAGGAATTTTTCTTTGGCAGAAAACTGCCAGTGCAGTTCTGTAGTTCCACTGGCTTGGAATGCAACCTTTTCTGAAACACTGACATTCCCACCGCCCAGAAGTCCCACGTTTCAGCCCCCTCTGTGTCACAAGCATATGAACAAAACACCATCCTCTATTCAGGTAATTGCGTGCACAGCTCTGGCTCCACATCAGTTTTACTGATTGCCTTTGAGAAGGCAATCGGTAAGAGCAGCTTTTTGTAATCATGTGTATTGTTCCATACTGGCTTTCCTGTTCTCTGTTTAAAAAAAAAGGCAATTCTCTTTATTCTAACATTTTTTCCTGGGGCCTACATATAACTTCTGTCTCCCAAAGGTACATATTATATTACACTCTTATCCAAACCCAGCTTTACACGATGACTAGAGCAGCATTCAATGTAATCACTAGCAATAGTATTAGAAATTCATGTTCTTATAATAAAACGAAAGGGTTTCCTTCCATGCAGATGACATTTCATATTTTAAACTGATGCTGAAGTTCATAAATCATCCATGATAAACACCTCTTGAAATTAAAATCTTGGATTCACAGGTCAGGTATAGCTTAGCCAAGAACAAGACAGTACTCCCTCATTATTCTGACTGTAAACATCTTCACCAAGTCTATTCTTCTATTTCCCTCAAATTCCACTAAAACTTTTCCTTCACTGTTTCAGTGGTTATCACAAAATGAAAGTAACCACCAAAAAAAACCCAGCACATATACTTCTGAGTTATGTTTCTGCAGATTGTTTCTCCTGTATTGTCTGTTCTGTTCATCTCTGTCATATATCTGTTTATGAAAATCTCTTGTCAGATAACCCTGAATTTCAATTGCTTTGCTTAACAGGGACTGTGCTGAACAGTTTTTCATATCTCACTAGTTTTTAATCCATATTTAGACAATTAAAACTATCCTGGTTTTAGCTGCCCCATAACTCACTAGAACTGACTTTAAAAAAACCTGTACAGTTCAGAGGCATCTAGACCTTTAAACTCCAATGAGAATAGTGACAGAGCTCTAGCTGTCTGCAGAGACTAAATTAAAGCAGAAGTAACAACAAGCCACACTAGAAATAATCAATCTTGCTTCTCAGTATGAGACAGAAATAAATTCTTCTTCTCCTGTTCTCCCAACAAACATCTGAGAGACAGAGCCTGCCCAGTGGCAACCCTGCAGCAGCGTGACCGTCTCCTCTTATCCAAAAGACCAGAAAGTTTTTGTTCTAGGAGTTAGAGATCCTAGGCAGATTCAGTGTTCCAAAGCATAGCTAATTTTACCAATAACCTAGCAAAACCAGAATGGAAGATAATGAAGTTTTGTGGGGCTCGCATATGTGTTCTGTCAAAATCTAGCTACGATGGTTGCCTGCTGCCAAGACTGAGCACTTGACCTTTGCCATGTCCCAGAGCAGAGAAGGCAGAAAACAAGGCAGGACATCACACCCTGGCAGCTGTGTTTCATAGCCCGTTGCACAAGCCAGCTCTGTCACCCTGATGCAGCAGCCAGCAATTTGTGTGAGCTGAGTCACGGGCGTGCAATTGCTCTGGCCCTATCACAGCCGACTGACAGCAGAAGGAGGGTCAGGCTGCTGGTGACTCTTAAGAGAAGTCACCAGACACCATGACTCTCAAACTGAAAGTGGTAACATCACCAGATGTAATTCAAGGTCCCTTGCCCCAGCGTGGTGGTGGGAATGTTTTTTCCAAGGACAGTTAAGACAGTTAAAGTACACAAAGTGCACAAGTGAGGCCAGGGACCATGCGTTAATGCTTGTTTACTCCAGGTTTGAAGTTCCTTATTTGAAAGTAAAGTTGCCTCCACTTTGTTGTAATATAATCAAACTAAGACATGGCCAGAGTTGAGATTTGATCACCATGCTTTTGCAGCTCTTAGTGTGGTAAATCCAGCTATCATTATTTAACAGATTTAGCACTTGCGGATAGCAGGCTTCCTAAGGAGCTATCCTGGGGTTAAACAGGCATAAATAGTATAGTGAACAATGGTTTAATGCAAAAAAAGCCAAACTGATGAGATGGACAGAGGAACTTTGCTATGGTTGCTGTTTTATTCGTGCACACTCTACTCTAGTTCTTACCTTTAAAGTCCATGTATCTTTCATCAAGTTACTTTGATCAACCAAAATTTACCAATGTCATTTCATTATCTACCCATATACAAACTTCCTACCAGAAGAGCCACTAGGTAGGTCAAACTGTCTGATACCAAACTCACTATGCTCCTCTTTACAAGAAATCCATGGGATTTTTTTTTTCCCTAGTATAAAGAATGCCAGAAAAAAGAGAAGACAGGCTTCCTAGGCTGGGGCTAATCAGAAACACTTTCAGAGATGCACTGACTGAATTGCACATGCAAATATTGGAGGCTAAAAGCATTTCTTGGTGAAAGCTAATTAAATGCTTGATCATTCTGCTAAAGCTTCTTTTGAGAGCACAAATTAATATCATTTACAATATTGCCTACTAAAAGCTGTGGTGAAGACAACCAGTTCATTTCACTTACAGCCCCAAACTGCTGCTGGATGACAACTGTCTCTACTGACCTAGTCCTGACTTGAAACAGACCTTGGAGGCAATGAGTTCTGTATGACCGCTAGCTGTGCCCTGACCCACTGAGCATCCCTGGGTTGCGCAGCTGCTGCTCCAGTCCCTCCAAAGAGAGCCAGAGCCTCTGCCAAACAGCACCAAGGCTGTCATGCAGACAGAGAATAAAGAACAGGGACCTGACTCACTTGCCTGAAACTCCATGTGGACAGCAAAGCAGGGACAAACCAGCACCTGAGCATGGGAAATTTGTAAAGCAGTGCCTCAAAAAATGATGGCTGTGAAGAGTATGATCTTACCTACACAGTCCAAGCCTGCCAGTAAGAGTTAAATCTTATCCTTAGGACACATGCTTACCAGTAGATTGGGTCAGTTGGGCAAACTGAAACTCTATTTTTAGCCTTTTGCACATCCATGCAGAATCAGAAGATGAACTGTGACTTCCCATAGTTACCAGAGTTGAGTCACTTCATCATCAGCTGAGTTACCTGCCATCAAGACTCAGCTAATTCGTCCTGAACACCCTATACCCCTCACAGCACTGGAACAAGCACAGTTGCCACAGTACCCAGGGTCTACACTATACATAAATTTAGCATACCCATGCTAAAAGCAGGTGTGCAGGTTCCCATTCCCATTTCTCAGCAAGAGCACAGCTCTGAGAGTGAGGCAAGTCAGCACTGGGAGAAAAAGAAAAGAACTGCCAAGATATTTTTGAAACTTGGCACAGATGAATTGAAGTTTCTGATCTGAGGATGTTCTTCCACTTGAAATGTAAGGCGTTTAAAGAATGATGAAATTTGCATTCTTATCTCCATCCCTTTCACTTTCTCCAAACACTTCTAGCCATATAAATACAGAATACAACCGCCAATGAGAGCCAGGAGTTTGAATATTTTATACAAAAGGCAGCAAATTAATTAGCCTTTCCTACAGTTAATCAGAAGTGAAATGTGCTGTCTCATCCCAAGGCTTACCTTGGTTGAAATCTCACGACTGCTTCCTGGCGTCTCAAAGCCACGTTCTGTGCATAGTCATGAGCTGATGATCCAGCCTTCCCCTGCTGCTCTGAGAGGCCTGGCAATGCACTTTCCAGCTCCTGCACAAAGCAAAAAAAAAAGTCAAATCCCCTGTCAGTACCAATCAAGCTTAGCTGAATATTTTGCTTCAAGAAAAAAAGAGCTCCATGAGAACAGATGCTGATTGTGGTTCTTTGTTATTTTTGGCAATAACCTGGAAACAAATGGAAAACACAGACTAGGAATGGTTCTTAACAAAGTAGCGTCTTCTTTCACCATCAAGCATTTTTTGAAACCAAAGCAGACTGTAATCCATTTTCTGTTTATTAGTTAGGTAACAGATGTCAGCTTCTGAGCTAAGAGGTGCTTTACACAGAGTTCAATTTTTTTTGCTTATATACACATTCATGTTTCATTTCAAATTATTTACTCATGTGTCATTATTATTTTATTACTTGGGCATCATCGGAAAAATTCTGGCTGACAAAAGCAAATGCAGTTCACTTAAATAAGATTTGTAAGGTTTAACCGTTGTCCTGTTTCCTTTTTCTCAGCATATGCATAGCTTTATGAACACAGTATTACTGCAGGAGGAGTGAAAGGCAGCGAGGATTAAAAAAAAAAAATCACAAGAGCCAACTTGCCACACAGAAAATTAAAAATTCAATTTAGATCAACAAATTGAGGAAGGGTGTAGGAATTAGAAAGGTATGCATTTTGCTCCAAGCTTTCAAAAACCAGTTGTAGGGCTGTAACAAGATGTGTACAGCGCATCTTCGCCTCCTTATCGATAAAATGGGTTATAATAATTCCCTTGTGTTGCAAAAGGGTAGGCTAATGAAGTTCTTTGAAAATGTGATAATCGAAGTGAATTTTTTTTCCTATTTCTTTATTAGCTTTTATCATGCAATATTTTATTCTAACAGTTTACAAAATTAAAATACAATTTGCTTTGCAAAACAATAGTTTTCACTTCTCCTGGTAAAGCAATGTATCTGATCTTGCTCCAGTTTCAAGGCTTAGTTGGAAGCATGAAAGTCAGAAGTTTGAATGGGATGGTTTAGATGGAAACTTGGAGGGCTGAGATCATTCTAGATGTACAAAAACAGTAGCTGCTTTTACTTCCTTCTTAGTCTGTTCCATCTTTACAGCTTGTTTAGAGATGCATTGTATTTAAACAAAACCAAATTACGCTTTTACAAAATTGTCAATTTTATAAAAAGTTTTAAATTTAAGAAAGTTGCCCAAATGATCTCCTCTCAAGAGAAATATTCAGTGCCTGCCTCTCAGAAGTAATGATGAAAGACTAAGAGATCTTGTAAAAAAAACACAAAAAAACCCACAAAAAACAAAACCACAAACCTGGTAAAAATAAATAAAAAGTCTGATCACTGGCATTTACTTCCTCTCCATGATGACACTTTAACTGTAGAATATTTGTTGGATAACTGAATGTTAATTCCTCCTACTTAGTCTATGAGATGAGTATAAAAAGAGTGTCAAAATCTATGTCTAGAAACAGGCAGCTGTCACCATGGTGGTGGAAGTACTCAGGAGGAAGCAGCCATGTGCTAACTCCAACACACACATCCATCCGTGGGCTATGTCTGCACTGCATTTATGAAATGTGGACCTGCCCAGGGGCTGAAAGAACCTTCCCTGCCAGCTGAAGAGACCTGTGCTAACATTAAATTTGCTTGCTTTGGTATCAGCCACTGCAGTAGAACTCACCCAGCAGAGGTTAATTAAGCTTTCCAACCATACTTACTACCCACAAGGGGAAAATTTCCAAAACAGACCTCCAAATCAGAGACTGTCATTTTTTCAGACTAGATGTTATGTAGCTCTGGTGATATCAGGGCAAAAGGGAGAAAGCTTCACTCAACTAACTAGTGTGACTCTGACTCGTGTTACCCTTTGTGTCCCCCTCTCCCCATGTCTGTCTAATATAGTTTAGCATTGAATGAATGACTTTTTATCCAGAAATGGTAATAACATTTTAGGTTACAAATGGAGAGCAAACTTTTGCGGCTATTCTAGTTTTTCCATTAATATCTTAACATTCTTTTCCCCTAGTTATATAAAAATGAACATATGCTCTTAGGGACTAAACAGGTCAACACAACAGTTTTTCTTAAAGTTCAAAGCAGAAGTGGAGTAACACAGTTCAGCTTATTTTATTTGCCCAGAAATCTGCAGTGGTTTGATGGTCTCCAGGTAAAACAGGCATTTTCCTCATTTGTGCTTGAAATCTCTCATAAGGACTGGATTACATCATGCTAGGTGTTGGACATGACAGAAAATAGAATAACACTATATTCTCTACAATACTTCTATATTGGCTACAGCAAAGCTGGAAGACAGCAGTCTGCATCATCATCAAAATATTCTTTCTCAAAGAGACTGAATATCAGAGACATAAGAATACTACAAATCAGCTATCAGGAAAACCTCTGGAACTGAAGCTGGGAATTTGCATTATTTGCAAATCTGAGGGATTTAGATTGGGAGGAGAGAGGGAAGAGGTTGGGCCACTGAAGTTCGGGAGATAACTTCCTTACAACTGTAGTAGAATCATGAGGGGATACTTCCAGTCAGGACTTGAATCCTAGCTTTTTATACCATCTTATGACAATATGGAGTGTCAGGATACAATAAAATACTGAAAGTGGCAACAGCCATTGACTTATACCAGTTTAAGACCTTGTCTAGAGTTCTCTCAACAGCCTCAACGTTTACATTTAGGTGTGCTTAGCTTCAGAAGTTGACCTCAAAAGCTGTTAATACAAGTAAAAAGAAAATGTTAGGTGCTATGTAAATGAGTGAAACAAGCGGATTTCAAGTTAAGCAAGTATATCCTATGGCTGAAGCCTTCTCAGTGTTGTACTATTTAAGTTAATCAAAGTCAGCCCAGTTAAGATGCAAACCCAAACCTGCATTAAAGTGGTAAACTTGCTTCAGCAGAAGCCTGGTCTGCAGCAAACACCCCTCTCCAACATCAGCAGAAAGAACACAGCAATTCAGGACACTTTTGGCTAGGTGAAAGGTAAAGCTGAGGACAAGAACATATGCTGGAAATCAGTGCTCACTTCCAGGCTCAACGTTTGAGGACTTGGGTGGGTTTTGGTTGTTTTTCCTTTTTGCTTTTTTTTCTTTGTGTTGTTCATAAGTTATGTCATGAGGATGTTAAAGAGTAACTCTAGGGAAACACCTTTGATGGAACCTCTATTTCTTAGGTGCAATGAAATCCATTCCTGATGTGTCAGAGGCATCCAACAGTACAGTGCTGCCTGCTACTGTATTTTTGTTTCTTACACTACAGAGTGTGAAGCTTCTACAATGAGGCTGCAGCTGGTAAGCAGTCTGTGAAAAGGGAAATCTCCAGGCACTGCTAAGAAGACTCAGTACCACATAATCACTATGTGATATTTGCTTTCTATACAAAATAATATGTGGGTTTGGAAGCAGCCAAAAATTACCATAATGGATAGAAATGTTGAGATAAATCATCTTCTGTTTCACAAGCTATTTTTTTAAAATCTATTTTCCTTAAAAAATTCACAAGATGTCATAGCCCATCTCTGTCAGAGCATCTGAATTACAGTACAGCGCATAAACCTTTATTGTGTTTACGCAGCAGCTTAACTGCTCTTGAACTCTCGAAGGTCCCTTGCAGCCTTCGTATGCTTTATCAAACATACAAACACTTACATCTCTCTTCAAATGCGAGCACCATGCAAATATTGTACCAGCATTTGGGACAGCCCTGGCATACCTCATGGTGCTGCGTCAATATAGAAAATAGCCAGGACTGCAGTCCTGAGCAGAAGTGCCTCCTACCTCTCCTGAAAATGCCAGTCCACACAAGAAAATAAGCAGGTGCAATTAATGGACAGTGAATTGAACAGATTTAAACCACGACGGGAGGTATGGTTTAAGCATAAACAGTATAACTTAAAACTGAAGTGGAACTTGCAGACTGCCTGACAAGGTAGCTAATGTGTTATCTTCAGCTCTGTTTTTTTGATTCCTGTGCATTTAAAACCACAACTTTAATGTCAAATTACTGGAAGTCCTTTGAAATCTATGCAACTTGCCCACTTAATTTATACTCAAAATACAAAATTTTACCTGGCAGATCTCACCACTTTTATCTCTAGGCATTGATTGTCAAGCCAACATTTCATTTTTATAGTAATTTACCTTGATAATATGACCTTAAAACTGAGCTTTTTACTACCTCTACCTATTAGCTAGCACGTTTAGTGTCATTTTATAAGTATGTCTCACTATCAATAAGGAATCTGAGGATGACTTATTTAAAAATCTATATTCATGACTGCGCATCAAAGGTGAGTGACAGGAGAAAGGATTAGGCAAGGAAAGCAGAATTGCCATTCCTCACCATCTGTTTTCACACTGGCTCCCCTGAGTATATTCTGAGCATATGCTTCTTCACCTCTTGAAGTCAAATAAATCTTAATTAATTTGATTTTCTACAAATTAACATTGCAGAATTGCTAAGAAGCTCATGAAACCATAGGAAAGATGAAACCAAATACCTGGAGTGCAGCAGTGCCATTACATTCCAGCAGCCTCTCTTCCCATACTTTGGAAAGGTTACAGCTGCCCCCATACCTAGCTCCTGCCCCCAAAGAAATAACTACATGCAATATCCAAGGTACAGCTTTACTCTAGTGACATTTTATCAGCTTATAAGTGGTGAAGTGAAGTCACTTGGTACTGCACCTTTATTAGACCTGGTCCTGTTAATCAATGTAAGTCATCACTGTAGATTTAATAAACTTTTCTTCATCAAGACCCAGGGTACATGAGCACAGCACTACGCTTCTGTGAAAAGACAAATCAGAGGCACAGGAATTCCACTTCAGCAGACTGAGAGCCTTGTAAAGCTCCAAATCCCCAAGTTGTCCATTCTTCCTCTACTTGAATGCAGAGATCTGTTCCCTCTCAGTGACCTTTCTACAATGGAAATCCCCTGGATTCTCACTAGTCGAAAGGCACACAAAATTGGTTCCCATCCAAGCACACTTTAATCCTTCCAACACATGCAGCAAACTTATTTATCTCCCAATAGCCTATTCTGATTTTAAAGGGACAATTTTCTAAAAAGGCAACTCATGGGCTTACAAGACGTAACAGTGAGCACCAAACATTTCCTTGGCTTATCAGAGCAGTGTCTTTAAAAGAGATACTGTCACTGCAACATTGTCACAGTCTCTTTCTGATGCCTCAGAGAAGTCAGGTTGGGGACTGCTGAAAAAGCACTCTATCAATAAACTCAGGAAAATGAATGTGGAATGCATCATGCTTTTCTGTCATAAATACATGTATTCAGGTATTGCTGTTCTTCAGCTCAGTATCAGCTGCCTGTAAGTACATCATTTGTCTCATTGACTGGCTTAGTGGCAAGGTGTTTCACAAAAGGAAGGTACATGCAGTTGCACAGTGCTTCAAAGCATCAGTGTGGCCCAGCTTTCCAGGTAATAACAACCTGACATATACATATAAACACCAGCTACTACAAACAACACAGTAGCACTTTGCTTTCAGCTTCAAATTGGAGAGAAGCAGTTGCTACCGGTTCATGACTAGGGCTGCTAACATGGACAGATGCAACAGGGCTTGAGAGATCATAACACACCAGGGATCCCAAAGAGAACCTGTACACAGATGCAAACACTTCATAGAGCTCTTCTGCCAGCAGAGCCTTTTTTTTTTCATAGGCACCTTAGACAAAGCCAGGAGCCAGATGGTTGTTTGTCCAAGAACAAAAGCCCTTGAGGTAGCTGAAGATACAACAAGGCAAGCACTGGGGGTCAAGGAGCAGGTATATCCTTACTAATGAGAATGAAAGCTATGTGAAATGAAAGGCTTAGTAGATGCTTTCTCCGAAACAGCTTCCTTCTGCAAACTGCTCCAAGAGGCAAACTCTTTCCTCTACAGCAAGCACCACTGAACTCAGTGTAGATATAGGATATCACTGAAAAGCCTTTCACAGCACTAGGATACAATTCCCTCTATGAATGAGTGTAGTTCCTGTTATGGAGAGATGTTTGCTCTGTGTTTATGTTTTATGTTACACTCAGAGCTCTACACTAGCTTTCATCCCTCAAGTACTCCTGTCAAATCAAAGGTGAGATAAAGTATTGCCTACATGTCTTACTTCTTCCAGTATGCCAGAGACGGGAGTAATGGGCAGTGTGGGGTCCCAGGACCACTTTTGTCGGTCTTAATTCAAGCCCCTGAGTCATGTGACCCCTTCCAGAGCCATGTTTTTCCTTCCAGAGGCTGTGTATCTAAGCAGCACTGGTATTTTATGGCAGTCTAATTATATACTCAAAGTTTCCCATGAAATAATATCAACATTTTCAATTAAGCACTTCAGGTCACATGAAATACCATAGTGGAGCAAATCTGTGCCGTGTTGGCTTTCATTGGGTGAGAGATACAGGCATGATGTACACAGGGAGCAGGCAGGCGGGAGACTCAGAAGTAGCTGAAAGAGCAACAGACGATCAATGATCTTGCCCTGTTTATGACTTCATGACTCCTCTTCCTCTGATATGCCTCCGCTTGCTCTTCATAGGGCAAAATTTCCTATAACTTTTCTTATCTGCTGATAAACATGGACAACTCATTTCCCTGCAGCCTAAATAACATTTCCTAGTAACACAGTACAGTTACAAAAAAACCACCAGTTATTACCTCATCTCAGGGATGAACTCCAGCAAAAACATGCAAAAAAGATGAGGGCAAGAATGACATTGATATTATGAAGGAGACTAAGATTATACCATTGGGATGCCATTTGCTTTTACTTTTTCTTCTGAGATTCAAAAGGATATTCCTCACTCAGAAGGTGAGACACAACATCCAAAACGATCAGTTCCCAACCTAAATCTGAAAAAATGAATCAAAATAATTCCTGGTCTATGATGGGTTCAAAGTACTTCAGAAAGCACTCTGCAAATTTTTACCCACAAACAAGAAGAGGAGACAGAAAATAGTCAAATATATTGTACATCAAAGAAAAGATGTCAATACAGGCATCTCTCAGGCTCTGTGTCTACTACAGGCCAACAATCTACCACTGTCAACAACATCTATCTTGGTTATGAGAATATTTCTTGGTTACAAGAATTATTTATAATATTTCTAGGGGTTAAACCTGGACCAGAGCTTTATCCCTTACTCTGCACATGAAACACAACTTGGGAAGCACTGGAGGAGAACAGAGGCACTTCCAGCAGCTGCTGGGAGGTGGTAACACCGGAGCCTACATAGCAATGTACGTCCACAGACAAGCAGCAGAAGCTTCTTCGTTTCTAAGTCTTCTTTTAAAGCCTTTAGAAAAGCTACAGTTCTGCCCCATCATGAGAGCCTGTGGGCAAGAGAACCAGTGCCAGAATCTGCATTGGAATAGATTTATTATTTAAAGATGAGAAAAAACCAGAAATTATGAAATCTTTGTATTGGGAAACAAAATACAAACAGAAGAGATCCGCAGTCAAATAAACAAAACAGAAGTCTAATCAAGTGCTGCAACTACCAAGATTTGTGTATTTGCAAGCAGCCACAGAAAATCTTAAGAGAGTTGTTAGGAGACCTTTAGCTATGCCCTCCACTCACTTCTGATAGCAGTTGCAACATGCTCCTCTCTGCAACTCCCTGGCTGAAAGAAATTGTCAGTCATTACAGGAGGGTTCCAGGTCTCCAGGTCCCTAAAAATCAGGGTTTCAGTCACATCATGGATTACCAGGGAGTCCCACTTTGCATTTCAAAAGGTATGTTTGCTCAGACACCATGCTGTAAACCTACACTTGTAAGTTTAGTTCTTTACCTGACTTTCCTCGTGGCTTTTCCCATTTTCTAGCTTTGCAATGGGCTTGGGTTTTCTTAGCTTTAAGTTGCCCATTTCAGGCTTTAGAGCGTAGTCAGTTACAGCCTGATGCTTCTGCTGATGAGTATCTTGCAAAGGCAGCTGTCTTTCCTCTAAGACAGCAGCATTGTCTGGATAATTTTCTTTGTTATCATCATCTCTGTAAGAAAATATAATTGAAATCCATCAGGCAGGACTTCAGACATATGTCAAAACATTACGAAGGTAGAACAGTAGCAAGTTCTTAGGTATTCATGGCATTTTAATTTTACCAAGTTGAGTAGTCTACACACTAAACACTGCATATGTTAGTAAAATGAACCTGAGAAGCTACTGCTTATTGTAAAATCACAAGCTAAACTGCAGTTAGTATTATTATACATTTAACTGTAGAGCCATGTAGAACCATTTAAATAAGACTAGTTTTAGAGGCACTCTGACTTTAGCCCTATAGTTCCTATTCCCCAAATAACCAGAAACTGTCTTTTTCATGCAGAAGACCTTTCCCCATCCAATGACTCACACTAGGTTATAATCTAACAAAAATATTGTCACATACAAGAAGAATAGACAGACAAAAAAGCGTTTGAACAGCCAGAGATGTGTTTGATATAATCTGACAAAAATATCGTCACATAGAAGAAGAATAGACATACGAAAAAGCGTTTGAACAGCCAGAGATGTGTTTGGGTGGAAGGGTCAGGTATCACGTGCTTCCAGTTTGGAGAAAAGGTCTTCCTGTACAAAAGCATACCTGGTGGTTTAAGTAGACACTCTCACTCACAGATGCTCAGGTAACCACTGAACCTGGGACAGATATTTTGGGTCTCCACCTAGCCTACAGTAGACCTTGCTAGTCTTTTCCACACCCACTCAATTCAACCTTAGACTGGTCTGATGCCAGACCTGGGAGCATCTCCCTGGCACCACTAAGGTACCGCAATGCAGAAAGTGAGGCTGCCTGCTTAGTTGGCAGGATGAGCAGACCAGCATTACTGCTTCAAAATCACTTGCTATCACTTAGTTTTCAGATGTTAGCTTCAGCTGGTAAAATCAGCTGAGAAAGGACCTCTCTCTTGGTATGAAACTTCCACAACTGAGGGAGTCAATGACTACTGAATTAAAGAGATATTTTTAGAAAGCATAACTTGCTAAATCAACATTTTCTCCTAAGGATTCTGAGTTTCCAAGCTCACTTCCTATCTGTGGCCCACCAGCATCCAGATGGATGCTCACAGGGTGCCTATGGAGTGAAATACCATTGCTGCCTGTGCCTTCTGCAATTACGCTCCACGGCAGTTGTTACAGTTACAGTGTAGGGTGCTTTATATCCTAGGGCATTTCAACAATGTGCAAAAGCGCTGCTAATTTTAAGGTATCATCTGATTGAAAAGTCTTTCAGAAAGATTAAGTTGCATCCTGTAGCAATCAACATATAGTAACATAGCCATGAGAGGCACATGCCTCAAGAATACTTCAGTTAAATTACAATTCGAAGGACTTCTATTTCAGAGACACTCTTCAACGAGCATATCCTTGCACAATTGCAAAATGCCACTTACTACTATTTTGTACCAGCTGCTGTACAGTAACATTCAATGTATTACCATCAGAATGGAGCATGATGCAAAGTTAAGAACACAGACCATAATATATCTACTCATATAATAATAACTGCTATTAATCTTAATATTGTTTACACATAAGTATACAAGAAAAATATGCATTTCCCAGAAATACTAATAGCCTTAGCAGATAACACCCCAGAAACTCTGCATTCCCTAAAGAATAAAGGTTTCTTTCCAATTGCTTAACATAAGCACTTTGATTGCTTTATCTGTTGCAAATGGATTTCAGACAAAATTTACAGTAGAATACCTGGGGCTGGAACTGGCTTCTTGATCTTCATATACAGAGTCTGAATACCCATCGCACCTTGAAAATGGATACAAAATAATTGCTGATTTTCTGTCCGCTGCAGAAAATTAGCTTTTAGTAACATGACAGTACAGCTCAAAGTGTAAACACATTTTTCCTTCTCACGCTTTAGTTGGGGTCATTTAATGTCATAGCTGCTCCATGATTGTCTATATCTCAGAGGAAAAAGAGGATTTGAGATGTTAAGTGTATGCAATTTGGTGTATAGTTTTCAGCCAGATAGAAAAAAAATGACAGAGAATTCAGATATTGCCATAAAAATTACAGGAAAATTACAAGCAATTCTGTGTTTTAATTGCTTGTAGTATACTTCACATAAAACAAAATCATTTGAAACACTTAGCAAAGGTTGTTTTTCTCCTAGACTCACAAAAATATTAACTGTAGTAGAGCGGTCATTCTTTGTGCAGCAAGTAAAAGAATCTCCACATAACTGAAATTATAGGATGATCATTAGTCTTAAAAAGTGAACTAACAGAATTTTTTTAAGATGCCTGTAGAATCATAATCAATTGCATCCCCTTAAGTTCAGCATGGCTGAACTTTGCAGAATAATATAACTGCAAAGCCTATGAGTGGTCATTCTTCAAATAAGCATACAGACACATGCATACACTCCTAACAAATACGCATGCACCCTTTCTAAGTATTATTTCTGGGGAAAAGCCGGGGTCCTCTCTTCACCCTCTGTTCATACTCACAGGGCACAGACACTAAGCAGGCCTGGATCACTTGAAGTTTGCTGGCAGAGGAATCTCTTCATTATGGGGGAAGCAGCCTGAACTTGTGCTGACTTCTTAAATTTTCAGAAGAGCTGCCCCGCTTAGGACAGAGCACATTATGTGATAAATTCATCACCCTGCATTGCAATTTGATGGTAAGGTCTTTAATATATTCATCTTTCCCACCAGTCTTCTGCCTGTATTTTTATCAAAAGCCAGACTGCAGCAGAAAATATTTAAAGGGACACTCAAGTGTTTATGCTTCCTGAATACATCAGCATATGAATGAAAGCATTTGCTGCTGCAACTGGAACATATCTACCGTTTCAGATCCCCTATAGTCACACAAAATTCCTACAACCAGTGCAGTTCTCCCAAGAAGGCAAAGTGAGATGACTGATGGAAGATGAGGATTAATGTACAAAATGGATAAATCCACTGTAGAATGCTAGTGGCCTTTGCCTCTGGATGCCAGTCACACCTTCTCCTCTGGTCTACCACCAATTACCTTATGGGTCTCTGACACCAGCAGGGAATGAGGATAGGACAGAGCTGGATGGACAGAGCTTCCAGTACAGACAGGAGATGCCAACAGGTGTGCTGTGCACCCTGGGCCAAGCCACAGGCAACAAAGGCCGGGGGCCCTCTAAATGGATGAACTCCCTCTGCTGCATGTGTCACAGGAAGAGGAGGTGGGAGGAAGCAGCTCTGCTACCGCCTTCACTCACCCCCTCCTCTCACCAGTCGCCACGCTTGGCAGCCTTCAGTTCTGAAGGACCATTTTGGTGACTGGGAACACTCTCTGGAGGGATGATGGATGACTGAGCACAGGCCCATCAGCCAAGTCTGTGTGTGCACACTTAGGGGAACTTGGGGAAGTGCTCTGGGGGTTGCTTTCCCTGAGCTGGCTGTAATAAGGTAATCTTGAGGTGCAGAGATCCTAACTTGGCATCCAGCAACTGACAGAAGTCATAAAACAAGGCAGAACTTACAAACAACGTACATGAATACGATGAAATGTATTTGAATAACTAGATAGCAGTAGATAGGAAAGAGAAGCAATAATGAATCAGAAAAGACCATGTCCATCATGTAATAAAAGAGTTGTGAGGACGTTCAGAAGCAACACATTCTGAACTTGCAACACATTCTTGAACATTAAGAGAAATGTTTCTCTTTGTAAGAGTAAGACTAGGTAGAATCTGTAAGAATAAATATTAACCAAGGAAGCTCACTCACACAAGTCAGTGCTTAAGGCTAAGACCACATAGCAGAACCTTTAAAAAGATGAACCCATGATATAATGCAAATATCCATCATTAAAGCACGGAGTGTTTTTACATTGGCTTCTTTAAGAAATGCATCTCGTGTATTCATGTCATTTGTGTGCACATATCAACACAGACATGCGCACACTCCTCTCTCCAGTAACTTGTAAATCCTGTCCAACTTTAGCTATATTTAACAGACAGAGGGATATTCAAGAGTTTGATAAGGTTTTTGAAAACTTGTGGCCACATGGTAGAGAGAGTTCCCACCAACCCAAAATCTAAAGCAGCATCACACTCGTTCCTAAAACATCAGAGAATACACCAGAACAGCTTCAAGCCATAAATCTATGTGGGTCAAAGCTTACATTGGGCAGCAATTATGTCTTTTGCAAAACCAGTGGGGTGAATCCTTTTCCTTTAGTGCCCAATCTAACAACTGACTGATGGATATGCCACTTAAAAGTTAGTGGCGATCTTATGGCACTGGCCAGAGTCAGGTCAGAGATAGGATCCCAGTCTAGCTGGACTGCTGCACTGACTCTTTATAGTACTGCCTCATGTTTCTTCCAAGGATCTCTGGTTTAATGGGATTAGCTTTTAAAACTTTCTTCCATTTTCACCCTTCTGTAGGAGCCATTTCAGTACAACTTGAAAACCGCTCCCTTTTGCTGACTTGACCTTTAAGATGTTCACATGAACAACTTCTAAACTAGGCTGCACACATGGCTTGCTGGAAGCTTAGCAGCCCCAGGCACTTGCCTTGTCTGTAGAAATGTTCCTGAAAGTATTGTATCACTGACTTTATAATATTCAGGAAGCCCTGATCTTGTCTTTGCCACAAGTAAAGACAGAAATTGTCAAATGGGAATGTCTGAAGTTGCACGGCAAGCTCGCTCTTTATTCTGCTAAATAAAAGTAACCTACTTTCAGATATGGCCAGCACAACCAACCAGTGCTGAAATCAGTAAGAATTGTGTATCCTCGGCAGTTCTTGAAAACAGGCTTTTGGGGGAGGATCTAAACAGGATTTAGAGAAATCAACTCGGGAAATCAAGTTTGTTCATTTGGACAATGCTTTTCAGATGCCATTGTTCACTTGCTTTGTTTTCTAAATGCATGTTTCTGCTTCTGTGTTTGGGTGGATAAGATTCAAAATTAAAGGCCCTGAAACAGAACCAACAACAAGTTAAACAAGGGAGATTCACCCCTCAGGCGATGCCTGGCCTAGCCCCGCTCTGCCATGCTGCTGCCTCTCAGCTCAGCGGGCACAGCATCCCCTGCGCCTCCCTCCCTTTCCCCGGGGGCAGTGGAGGCACAGTCAGCTTTTATGCCATCCTGGCCCTTGTCTTAATGGTCACATGAAACAGCCATCACCTTCAAGTCCCAGAAACCTCAAGGGTGAGGCAGACACAGAGGCCGCTCCAGGGGATCTCTACGGGAAACAATGGATGTACTTAAGGACAGAGAAAAGGGAAGGAGAAAAATACATGAAAAATGTACTAGCTGCAATCTGGTTATTCTTCTGTGAAGGGGGAGCGTCCCAGAATTTTACAGACTGCAATTCACCACTTAACTAATAAAGACATGGGAAAATAATAAAAAATTACTTTATTTTTTACTAGCTTCTGTTAAATTTTTCTGTATCTGCCACAATCACACACAAAAAGTGACTAAGTTAAAATATTAAATAAAGCAAGGCAATGTAACCAAATAAAGTGAAGCAATGTAAAAGAGGGAAATTATTTGGATCCCTATGCAATATAACTTTTCCTGTAATGATTTTGGCAATACTTAGGGATGGCTCAAGTGATTACAACTTGGCCTGCTTTCAGAATGTATCCTGTATCACTTAGGCAAACAGCTCACTGTTCAGCTAAGGTTCTTTAAATTATGAGCATTTTGGCAGTGTAAAACTCACCTAATATTAAAAAAAAAAATCTACAAATAATTTCCTTTCTGAGAAACTGCTTGGCACAACTGCTGAAGAATCTTCCCTAAAAGCTTTTGAAACAATCAAAAGCATGCAAAATAATAATGGTAAGAACACCGAAATTGAACTGGTTCAGACTGAAATAAAACAAAGACCATTTAATTTGTAATAGTTCCTAAAGTCTTTGCCTTTCTAACTTTCTAATGTTCTCCCTTATCCTGTTCTGTTGTTTCTCTAAAACGACAACCAAAAAAAAGTCAAGATATAAATCTTTATGATCATGATATATGAAAGGCCGCCTAATGAGTTTATGGAACTGATTACAAAGAAATCATGTATTTGGTACTTGGTCTAAGTAATGTATAGTCATTTCTTCAAAATATTGGCAATTTTTTTTTTCTAATAGTGCTTGCAGGAAGTACAGATCATGTGTTCTTAGAAAACTGACATACTTGTGTTTGTCAAGATCATCAGTACCACAAATGAGCAATATTTCCACAGGAGATTTATCCTGCACTGAAAGCTGTGCATTCAAACATGTGTGATGTGCATCAAACATACATTCTCCCAGTAAGGTACTTCACTACTAAGTGGTCACAGAGCATGCAAAGGCAGCTGTTTCATGCAATCCTTCCCATACAGTCACTAATATAATTAGATTACAGAAAATTGAATCAAAATATATGACAGATAGCTTGGGACTTCTCACATACTACTTGCAATTATTCTCTACAGTAGGTAAACTCATCATGCTTATTTAAAAATAAGGACATCTTTGAAGTGTTCACTTACTCTGCTAAGGCTGTCGTGGTGAAGGAATTATCCTGAATGCTGAAACAGAAACAAGAAAACATCAGATAAGTCAGCACGGCAGACAGGCTCCCCGTTCCCTTTCAGTTGTAGGAACACATGCACAAACACGGCATTGCAAGGCAAGTCTCTGTGTGTCAGCTCTACATGCACAACCGTACCTTCGGCTGCTCTGCACATGCTCATAATGAAGGGACCATAGGGATTAGTCCTACAACGCTCACAAAGCCCAGCCAGCAGCGCTTTGAATTAATACAGAGAAGCAGGTAGTCTGCGAGGCTCAGAAAGGGATCGTATTCCTTTGTAATTGTAACAGTGCCACTAACAGAGGCTTAGGTTTACAAACAAGCATTTGGCATTCCGTCCTTTAAACGCTCACTCTATGTCATTGGCTCATCAAACACAGTTGTTTTTATTCCTTAAATAGGGCTGCTCAGCTAAGATCTCTGGAGGTTTTTTCTTCTTGTTTAGTGGTCTCTTACACACTCAGCTCCTGGCCAAACCCTGGGGGAAGCTATAAAAAAATTAATCTGGCAGAAAGGACAGTTCAAGTAGCAAAAGGTTATTAAGCTAACAACAAGCAATGGATGAAACCATTCCTATGAAAGGAATAGGCTGCTGTGTTCCTGCACCGACATGTTTCAGACCCAGCGTAATACATCAGTAGGGGTCAGCTCAGGATACCGTAAACGCCTGGTTTTGAGGCAGCAGTGGAATTCCCCCTGGAACAACCTCTTAAATCCAGTAAATGCACTGCTGGATCATCGTGACATCTCATAGCAGCAGAAAAGGAACAACAACAAAAAAATCTCACTGCTAAATACCAGAGTTGGGATTTTTATTTGTTTGTTTGTTTTGGGTGGAGGGAGGAGAGGGCAATGGAGAAAACAACATCTCAGGAGCACTCCTGTTTGTGACAATGGCACCTCCAACCAGAGCAGGGATGCAGGAGACACACCATCCTCCTCCCACAGCAGCTTGTGCCGCTGGGTAGCGTTGACACATCTTCCAGGCAGAAGCAGCAGCCACAGCTGTGACAGTTCCTCTTCTCTCACCAACAGCACTAACAATGTATCTCCATCTTCACTTCTTCCCAGCCTTCCACCCTCCTTGCACACTCTGTTTTGCTCTTTTCTTTCCCATATATATATATATGTGTGTGTGTGTGTGTGTGTGTGTGTGTGTGTGTGTGTATATATGTGTGTGTGTGTGTGTGTGTGAATTTATATAGCAACACAAAATACCTGGAGATCAGAACATCACAGCATCACAGCCAGTCTATAGGGACTTCTTCCCTACAGAGTTGTAGCTTTTGTGAGAAAAGGGAGAACAGAAAAGCTAAACTTAATGGTTAATGTTTATATAGAATCATAGAATCTTGCCTTAAACATAAAATTCTAAATATTTTTCTCCTCCTATTACCAGTTTCTTGGGTCTGACCGTACAAATATGAATTTCTTTATTGTTTTTCTATTTGCTGCATAGTACCTGAACAAAAGATGTGTTTCTAGCTGTTGTGGCAATCAGAAACTGAATTTACATGGCCAAAAAGTAAAAGGCCATTTTAAAAATCTGATATTATTTTTAATGTATTTCAGAATGCTTAAGTGCTTGGCTCTTGATTTTTAATGGTTAGGCTAGGTTTACAGCTAGCATTTCAAGTGTGTAATAGGGGAATCACAACTTTTTATTACAAAATCATTCCTGTAAACATAACTTCTGCATTTTTATGTGCAGAAGTTAAGGTCAAATTCTCTGCCAATTCATGCTCTGTGTGAAGATACTGCAAGGCTTTGTTGCTATTACTAAAAACAGAATATGATTAAAGATCAGTTTGTAAAACAGGGATGCTTTGGACTGAGACCAAGTTTAAAATGTCATCGCTTTCCCATTGTTTGTGTGAACTTCAGTGCTATACAGCTGTGGCTAAATCTCCTTCAGGCAAGGACTTTACATTTATTTCAGGTCACTCACAAACTTTCTTTTTGCTCTGTTTGTGCTTGACCAGCGTCATTGTATACTCACTTCTTGCACGGTTGTGAAATCATTCAACAAAAACAAATTTCAGGTATAACAGAACAGTATTAATAAATACATGAAAGTAAAGGCCGGCTAAACCCAGGATCCTGTTTCAGAGTTTATCTCCCACTCAGACAGATGAAGCCATCCTGTTGCTGGGGGAGCCCAAGGGAGGAACTACAGTAGACTCACAATAAATAACTTCTCTTCTTTTGTTCCAAGAAGGAAGTAACTTCTCTTCTTTTGTTCCGAGAAGGTAGTAATTTCTTTTCAGGGGCAAAAGCTCTTTTCACCAATGATGTTGGCTTGGGCCTATTTGCTGATCCCACTTCCTTTCACCTGTTTGCCATCCACATGCTCTGGGTGAGACTCAAGCAGGTAAAGAGCCCCTGGCCGTACCCCGCCTTAGGGTAAACCAGAGCCTTAGGCAAGGCAAAGTGTGAGCCAAAGATGCTTGAACCTGCATCTCTGTTTCTCCTCTAAGTCCCAGGTGCAGGGAAAACATAATATTGCTGTTACCTCCTCATTTTCAAACATGACATTAAAGCCAATCAGGCCTGTAATGGTATAAAATACCACTCTTTGACATACTGAAATTCTCAGTGCCAGATACATATAACCATCACATTCAGATGATGTGTCAGGCCTCTCATCATCCTAAAGCCCTGATGAAAATAACACCATACCTATATGTGAACTAGGCTTTGGTCTTCACCACTAAGTAGCAGATCTACTTTTAAGGACTTTATATTTTGAAGTCATTAAAATATATCATTCTGAAACTCTTAAAATAAAGGCTTTAAAATCAGTTTTTACTTATTTATGCTGAACAGTTTAATCTATTTGTGCAATTTTTTTAATTTTTTGCAATATTATATCTATGGAAAGACACTTTATCTGTTAAAAAGCTTCCCATTTTATACCCAGTATTGCTCTTACTCTCTTTTGCCAAATGTTGATCAAGCCAATGTAAATAGTGAAGCAGTGAATGCTTTACAAATACAGTATGGTCTGGTTGCAGAAGACTGCAAAAGAAGAGAGAGGTAGTGAGACAAGAGTGGGCAATAGTTCTGGCTTCAGGAGAACAGAAAGAGTGCAACAAGACCAAAAGGCCAGAAGAAAATGAGGAGTAGTGAAGCTTGCCAAGCTACAGTTGTCTTGATCATCTCCCACACACATGTGCACACACATACACAACCCCCTGCAGACTTTGTGGCAGCTTGGTTTCACCTGCAGAACAGAACCTTTGCCTCAATTTCCAGAACTTGCTCATCTCGGTAAATGACGGTGTTCTCTTGAGGGCATTTCTGACTCAGATAAATAATGAGGCCCTTCAGCCTTAACTACAGAATAATGAAGAATTTGTATTGGGAAATAAATTCTGTGTTTAGAGGGAGAACTACATATTTACAAGAACTCTAAACTCTCTCAGGTTCTGGGAAAGATAGTATTTCTACCTTTAATATCTACTGTCTAATGACAAATTCAGCGCAATCCTATAAGGTGTGATTAGCTTTTATTGCAAGACTATTTTCTTCATTATTATTCGTTATTCCACAGAGTCCAAAGTGTTTGTGCTGAAATGGCTGCGTCAGAGGCAGTTACATTTTGCACCCTGGTTAGGCCGTACAAGGGAGCTGCACCAGACGCTATGGAGGAAGCGAGAGACACGGTATGACACGCTGTGCATGATGAGGAGCCCAAAGTGACTCCCTCCAGCTCTGGGAAGAAGTTACTCATTTTCCACTACCCAAGTACAGGGAAAGCTGGAATGATCTCCTCCCTCTCCTGCCTCTCTGGATGAAGTCAAGTCATTCCTGCCAGAACCAGATGAGCTCAGAGACTCATAAAAATATTGAGCAAATTTGTTTGCCTTGGAGTATGTGTGCTCCTGCCAAGCAGCAATACCCTGAAGTGCTCCAACAGCCCTTCATCTCCTCCTCAAACTGCACCAACAAGGAGACGCACTCTCTCCTACCTGCATGCATATAAACTATATGCTTTCACGGACAAAATACATTCAGCTCCTTCAAGGAGCAGATTAAATATGCTTGCTTGTCAGGTCACACTGCTACTTCTGAGGTCACATTTATGACAGAACATATTTATTTAAGCAGAAAACAAACTGAGGGTCTCTGGAGCAGCTCATCTCTGCCTTCGGCAAGTTCATTCTCTTCCAACACGGCTTTCTTATGGGATGAGAGCAGGGATCATTCTGCAGCAAAATGTTAGCACTGTGCATCATTCCAGTGCCTTGCCCTTTCTTCAGAAGCGATCCTACAGGATACTTTTGCTATTTTCCAGTCAGTAAGGCATAAACCAAGGAGCTGCCATGTGAGAGAGAAGTCACATGCCTCTTCCCTCTAGTGATAAATACTGAATGCTACACTCTGCGGCTCAAAATATTCATGTGTTCACTGACTTGCTTTCTTGATGTGCAGTCTGCCTTTTTATGGGTAACATTCTCGGAGACATCTGAAAACATCTTAAGACAAATGAAAGTAAAATACAGCAATTACATGTAGGAGCTGGTTGGTGAGCACTCAGTCCAGTTTCTATACTTTTGATTTTCTCAGTGACCTAATTAGCACAGCATCTGAGGGAATGGACCTGGAGGGCAAAAGCATTCAGCTGATCTTGCTGGATGTCTTAAGAAGCACAGACAGACTCATGCAGGAAGAGATTCAAGCTGAGTGCATGTGCAGACACAGTTGCCATAATCTAATCCAGGGCAATTCCATAAGGCATATGTATCTTGGGTTGAATAAAGCTTTGTGCAACTGCACAGACCTTCAGGATTACATTTTCTGAAGATATTTCAATGAGCAATCAAACTGCACATACTTCTACTCAAGCCTTATAAGCAGTGGGCCCATGAATCCCATCCCACAGTACACCCAAGTTTGCACTGGGGTAGGTACATCTACCCTGTAGCTCAAAAGGCACAGCCATACATCAGTCAGACCCTTGCTTTTTTAAAAGGAAAAAATATCATGGAAATGCAAAATTTTGTGCAGACTGGAAA